GCGAACCCACAGGAGAGAAAAAATGTTTGAGTGTGTAGAATGTGGGAAGAGCTTTAGCAGAAAGGCCAACCTCGCGGTGCACCAGCGAGTCCACACAGGGGAGAGGCCGTACAAGTGCAAGGAATGTGAGAAAACCTTCAGCCGTACCTCAAACCTTATCGCTCACCGCAAAACCCACGCGAAAAAGAAAGCCTTTTCCTGCACCATCTGCGGGAAAAGCTTCAGTGGAAGCGCAGCCCTCTTCCAGCATCAGAGAATCCATATGGATGAGAAGCCCTATAGGCGTACCGAGTGTGGAAATAGCTTCCGTCTGTGCTCAAACTTCATCAAACATCAGCGGATTCATTTGAGAGAGACACCCAGTGAACACGCAGCAGGTAACTGAATTAAGATCTGCCGAGTTTTATTTCAGGTTGTACAGACTCGCAGGGGATGGGTCAGATACTCTGGTCTCCATTTGTTCCTAAGCACTTCTCCCGCCTTGCTGTGGATATGAGCGGGGTTTGTTTATTTGTTTGTTTTTTCCCTTCCTATTTAATATATTTATCTCTTGTCACTTGCACAAGTGCCTTGGAGATGCCAAAGTTGAAATTTAGGCTTTGCCATGAAGGCTGCCTGGGATGTTAGACTGCAAAGCTCTCCAATCCCACTGATTTCTGCTTCATAGCGTTGCCTGATGTCTAGCCCTAGATCTTCAAAAGCGCTTAGTCAACAAAATACTAAGCTTAGGGAGGCAGAAGAGTTTAGGCTGTGAATCAGGGCCTTGGTAATCTCTAGCAGCTAATTTTTGTTTTATGTGGATATTAAATGAGCAGCTTTTCATTGCCTGCAGTGGGAAGTCTCTGCTGGCCATCGCTCTGTAGCATAGCGCAAGCTGTCAGGCAAGGTCATTGTTTAAAGTAAGGAGTTTTCTGGATTTTGCAGTATTCCATGTTCTTTTAACGACCAGAAACTCTGAGATAAAACCTGACATTGTGAGGTTTTTCTGTTGTACCTTGACATGGGAAGTCCCTTTATACCTGGTCAAAAATGTTTTGATTTTTAATCTTGGGTCTTGCCTAGCCATGCATAGAATTGTTCTGGATGTTGGGGTCTTGACCACCAGATCATGTAACAGCAGGGCAATAGAGACATGAGGCCGTATGAGAAGAAGGTGTTTTGCCTGTGGCGTTTTTCTGGGTTTTTTATTTGTTTAATTTTGTTTTTCCTCCTGAAAAAAAAATTTCTGAGCAATGAGAGCCTTTTATCTTAGCAATGGGAAATAATAATGGAGTTATAATGAGTAATAATGAAGTTATAATGAAATGGCAAAACTGAATTCCTAAAGTAGGGTTTGAGACCACTCAGTCCATAGATACAGAGCCAAGGCCTGGTAACTCTGCTAATGAGCCCTAAGGATGGGACCTTTTAGTCCTAGTGTTTGGGGTTTTTTTTGCCCTCCCCCCCTGGTGTTTTAATTTTTTTTTTTTTTTTTAGATGTAAGAGTTTATAATTCAGAAGAAAAAAAGTCAAATTTTTACCGTGGCAGTTGGCCAGTAATTAATATCAGATCTGCCTAACACTGTACCCACTTCAAAAGAAAGCGTGCAGACTTATTCTGGAGTGACTGTTAGCTGCTACGTGGTTGTAATTGAAGTTCCGTGATTGAAGCTCCGTAATAAAATTGCGTTTATGAGCAAACATATGCCACATCGGCCTTATGTGTGGATGAGGAATTAAACTTGATTTCTGTATCTGATATGATTTCAAAGAAGAGGTTAATGTATTTAGAACTTAAGTACATTTTTGCTAAATCTGAGCTGTCCTGTTCCATAAGAGCTCCCTTGCTCCAGCTTTGCTTCAGCCTCACCTCCACCCCCCTCATCCCCCCAAAAAGATATAAGGGAGACAAGAGGAAGGTATCTTGATTGTGACAAAACACAAGTCTGTAATGTTCCAGGAGGCTATATCTTCCTAGTCTTTGTCCTGGTTTGGCTTAGTTTGGGCCGGCAAGTGACTTGAATGAAGTTTTAAAATTAAAATGTGGGTGAGAGGAGGGGTTGTTACTGAGCTGCCTTCTCCTTGTGTAAAAGCGTATTTAAAATGCTAACCTAGCAATTGGTGGGCTCTTGACTTACGCTATGTTCCTTTTAGATGCAAAGCATTCTGAGTGTACGTATCTGCATCATAAAGAAGAGCAAAGGTGTGGTGCAGAGAACCGTGAGACGGATCACGTGAATCTTGTTCTTGAAGAGTGTAAGTTGAAAAAGGCTTCTAAATTGCCATGCTGAGTATTTTTACATAGCAAGCATTAACATTCTCTTCTCTTTGTACAGTGAAGAAAATGAGGGAAAATATGGATATGCTTCTTCTAAATCAGCAAAGTCAGCTGCAGGTCCTGCAAGAAATTCAGAAACAACTGAATATCCTCCTCCCAGGCAATGATCTCATTAATTCAAACCTCTATAGCTTAGGACTTCTGCTAGGACGGCAGACAGCTGCAGCGATGTCTCTTTCTTTTCCCCTTCTTAATCCCAGCAGTCTCCTCCCTGAAAATGCCAGTCACTTATCCCAGTCATCTGCTCCTGGAATTCTGCCTACGGCTCGAGTTCCAGTCTCTCAATACCCTGGAGCTTCTGCGACTTGACCAGCTTTGGGCTGCCAGTGTATCCAAACGCAAACAAATGTGACTACCGTTTTGTACTGTTTTCTCACTCCGGCATGTGATCTCTGTGTTGTAATGTTGAAACTGTGAAGATACCATGACCATACACACTCAGACTTGGAAAGATACGTGCATCAGCAGACAGCAGCTGATCAGATCCATTGCCCATTCGTTCCTTGCAGCGTGCAGACATTTGGCCAGTAACGTATTTTGTCGAGGCGGTTCAAGAGATCTTTATCGCTGGGGTGCAGTTAAGTGCAGCATCCATATATAAGATAATGCATAAAACTTTCTACTTGAGATGTCTTTAATACATGCTTGGGCCATTGGACATCTCCTAATGACCTGAAGCTAAAGAGAAAATCATCAGACATACTTTAAGCAGCTGCTATTAAGTCCAATTTATATAGATGTAAGCAGCATGCTTATGTAAAGGTGTTCGATTTAACTGCACCTCTATTCCCAGCATCCATTTGCAAAAGCTTCCTTCATTCAGGAAGGCTTTAAATTAGGTGTGACCTTAGCTGTTTCTTAGGCTGTCATCACTACTAGAACAAAATATTTTCTGTTTTTCGTTTAAAACAAACAAACACCCTGTTCCCCCCCAGCCTGACAAAGTACCACCACTCGGGTCTACCTTGCTTACTTAGAGTTCATGAGGAGAAGCCAGACTGGTTTAGAAGACAGTTGTTCTGCTGTTCAAAGGTGAACACTTGAGTCTGTTTTTAGATATTCTGCCATATCCTATTTGGATTGTTACATATTGTTGACTGTTATGTATTAGTTCATTGGGGTAGGACTGGAGTGAGTAATTACTATGGGGGAGGAACACCGAGAAAATGTATGTGGTGTTTTTTGGGGTTTTTTTTTGTTTTTTAAATGTTCCTGCAGGACTCTGACGTGGGGCCTTTTAAGGCTAGCAAGTGCAGAGATTTTTCTACCTCCTTGTTTCTGTCAGTGACACAGGCTAGTAGCAGTGTCAGAGCCTTTGAGCTTCAAAAGTGCCAAAAAGCTAACTATGATTTGCCTTCGAGCAGCTGCTGGGATAAAGAAACACCGGGGCTTGCACCTATGCAAAACGGTCTTTTTCTTGAACTGTGTTTGTGGGTTGTTGGTTTTGTGTTTGTTTTTTTTATGATAAAAGGATGCACTGTAGTAATTAATAAAATGTGATTAGATTTTAAGAATGGGAAATGCTGCTTCTCTTAACAAGCTGTCTTGGTGGTGGCAGTGCAATGATGTCAGATTCTGGTCTAAAGATAAGACTCTGGGATCGGTTATGACTCTATGTGTGTGAATACAGACTGAAAATCACACACTGGTTCTTATTATGTAGGATTTTGTGTTAGTCTTAATTTAGGAGGATATTCATTTAAGCCAAATGGAAAGGCCTGAAAGGGCATTCCTTCAATGTGAGCTGGTACTCAAATGTTTGGAATGTGTTTTCCATCAGCTGAGCGTATTAGAGTCGTATGGCTCTAAACTGAAGAGCTCCAATAGGAGTTGCTAACATTCTATGGGCATTTTTTGGATGTTTAATTGCATTTTGCTTGGCAGCAGAATCCCCTCTTCAAAGCAGTGGTTTAAGTTTGTATTTTAGTGTTTTTTTGAGATGTTCAGTATTAAAATGTTGCATTTTTGTTAAATGAATCTTTGGTGAGCTTTTGTCCTTTATGAAAGAGCACCAGTGCTTAGACTTTATGCCTGGAGTTCAGTTACTCCAATGTATGTGCCTTCCCCGTCTCCTCCTGCTTTTCTGCTTCTGTCTTCCCCTTTCCCTGCTTCTAGGTATCTCCTTACACTTCTGTCTTTGGAAGCTTCCAAAAAAGAAAACATAGCTGAGTCTGCCACTTCTGTGACTTAGACCAGGTAGGAGCAATCTCTCTATGTGAGGGCTTAGGTAGGATTTTTGCCTGTCAGGAGGGAGTTTTAGAAAATATTTCTGTTTGTAGCTGGCAGGCACAGGAGCAGTTTGTAGCAAACCTAAGGTGAGCTACATCCTTTTGTGTTGGTGTTCTCTGATGTGTTTGTTGGGTCCCATCTGAGCTTGAGGATAAAGTCCTGAAATACCTCTGAACTGCAGGGGAACTAGGGACTGGATGTAGAGGAGCACAAGAAACCATCATGCTTCCTATTTTTGGGTTACCTCCCTCCCATACATAAAGGAGAGTGGACACTAGAAATCTTTCTCTTATTCTCCCAAGCACTTTAGTGGTTCTGAAAAGCACCTCTGATGCTAAAAATATGCCTCTTCCTAGGTGGAGTTGGGGCCTGGGGGCTTCTTGCCTGTGCTGGAAGGTGTCTGAAATGCTTCTTGCCTCCTTTTCTCCCTTGCGGTGCTCTGGCAATGATGTAGAAGCGTGTGTGGTCTGTGCAGGTGTATTTGATGTTGGGGGGACAGTGTAGAGAAGTGAAAGGTAATCTGCAGGAGATGTGAGCTTCTCTGACAGCTGTCCAGTCCTAGGATTGGAGGTTTGGTATCTTACATCGTGTCCGTATCAAATACCTGTACACAGTGAGAGGGCTGGAGTTCATTCCATGCTCAAAATGTTGCAGTTCTGCAGGCAGGGAATTGTAGTCCGTTTTACAGTCTGCTTCTGAAGGAAAACTGTTAAAACATCCTGGTTTTAGCCGTGCGAAGGAAGTGGGAGTCTAAGATCACATTTATCTTATTTCCATTCAGTTTTAAGTTGTAGTAGCTCAGGAGCTTGGCACCAGTGAGAAATGCATTTGTAAATACAAGTGCTCCCACTGCTTTAGCACTGCTCTTCTGACAGACTGTAAATAGCTTGCTCAAGGCCTGTTAGAGGTGGAAATTGGATATTTTCCTCCACCTTAGTCTTCTGTGATTAACTCGTGTGACTCTGCTCAGATCTTAGTGCTTCAGTCCTGCAAAGATTTTTTCTTTTCCCTTAAGTTTTTGGGGGTTTTTTTGGTAGAAGATATCTGGTAGCTGCCTGGCATCAAGAAAGAAAAAACACAAATCAAAATTCGATGCCTGGAAGGGGACAGTGCTGTTTCCAGTAAAGTATCAGAGCAGATACTGAGCCAGGAGTGTGAAGTCCCGAAAGAAGGACTTTGTCCCTGAGAAGAGGGCTGTTGTGTTGGAGTTGAGGCACTCTTCTCTCTTGTCCAGAGCTCCTCCTTGAAGTCCTCTGCCATATCACCAGTGACGCTAGTACCTGCAGGAAGGAGCGTGACCGCTGATCAGGCCTGTGCTGAGGGAGCGACTGATCCTGCTGTGCAGTCACGGGCAGTACGAATACTCTTGCCGGTGCAGTAGAGAGCAGTACCAAGCTGAGCTTGCTGTGCTGCCATTCAGCATGACCTGGACAGGCTGGGAAGTTGGGCAGAGAGGAACCTGAAGAGGTTCAACAAGGGCAAGTGCAGGGTCCTGCACCTGGGGAGGAACAACCCCATGCACCAGTACAGGCTTGGGGTGGACCTGCTGGAGAGCAGCTCTGTGGAGAGGGACCTGGGTGTCCTGGTGGATGACAGGTTAACCATGAGCCAGCAGTGTGCCCTGCCTGCCAAGAAGGCCAATGGCATCCTGGGGTGCATCAGGAGGAGTGTGGCCAGCAGGTCGAGGGAGGTTCTCCTTCCCCTCTACACTGCCCTAGTGAGGTCCCATCTGCAGTACTGTGTCCAGTTCTGGGCTCCCCAGTGCAAGAAAGATGAGGAGCTATACCTGTGGAACCAAGTGTCTGTTCCAAGCGTGCTCAGTGTTTAAGCCAGTCCGGACAGTCAAGAACTGAAGACAACGGAAGGTTCTCCTTCCTTCAGCACCAGAACAGGAGCTCTGTGAAGGCAGTATAGACGAGGAGGAGGAAAATTTAACAGGCTGCCCAGGGAGGCTGTGGTGTCTCCTTCTCTGGAGATGTTCAAGACCCGCCTGGACAAGGTCCTGTGCAGCCTGCTGTAGGTGACCCTGCTTTGACAGGGGGTTGGAGTGGGTGACCCACAGAGGTCCCTTCCAGCCCCTACCATTCTGTGATTCTGTGACCTGGATGTGTCTCTGTCCCCGTTTTGTGCAGGAAGGTGTAAAATAGGTAGAGGAGGTGACGAGAAGAATAAGAGACTGTGGGTAGGGCTGTAACAGACGCAGAGAGATAAGGAGAAGTACCAAATATTGATGCTTAAATCAGCCAGTCTGGTCATCTGGCAGCTTTCTTCACTGTGGGACAGCTGAAGAGCACTCTCTGATCTCTTATGCTAATTCTGGACTATTCTGGGATTATTGTTGGCCTTTTCCTTCTTAAATCCTTCTTGCAGAGTGCCAGAGGCATGTTAGTCCTTCAACCTGTTGTCAGTTCCCCTACCAGCAAGTGGACTTGCCACCCCTCCTGCAATCTGAGCCTGTTGTCTTCCTCCCGATATTTGGAAATTGCAGTCTCAGGTAAGTAAAGGTGATAGCAAGATCCTCAAACGTGCTAGATTCTCTCTGGATGCCGAGTTAGCTAACAAGGGAGAAAAAAAAAAAAAGGTAGGTTTGCATATTCCCTGTGTGCCCAACAAGGAAAGGAAGTGAGGGAAGAAACAGGAGGAGGCAGCATAGAGAGAGTAGCCTCAAGAAACAGCTGCATTGGAAGAAACAGAAGAGGAGATGTATATTGCATCCAGACAGCTGAAGAAGGAAAATATAATGACTTTAAAATACTTGCCCAGCCTGTAATATATACATTATACCTCCACTGACAGCTCTGTGTGGGTAGCCTCTCTGCTTGATTCCTGCAGGAGAGTTCAAGCTGTAGGAGATATGATGGTAGGGGAGAAAGCCCTGGTGCTTTCAGCTCACATCCACGTCCCCTATTCCTGGCAGCCCCTTCCTGGCTCTCTTAGCTGAGTTAACAGCTGTAATGCCTGGGCCATCTCTTGGTGTCCCACCGTTCACTTGCCCCTTGTGTCCTTCCCCCGTGGCATCACAGCCTGGGTGGCAGCCCACAGGTACCTCTTGATGTCTTGGGGCTGGCTTGGAAACACACGTCAGTGGGCAAAGCTCTTGGCTACGAGAACAGGAACAGCTAG